GGGAAGAGGAAAAACTACTTGTCACCAGAGGTGAGCCACTACAACACAGAAAACTTTTGTGAAATCTCATGAAGAAGTGGTAAGTCCAAATGGGAGACCCCAGTATTGAAAGTGCCGAGGATCCACCATGAACCTCAGGAATCATCTGTGGGTCACACGTATGTCACGATAGATGTAGGCATCCTGCATATCTAGAGCCATGAACCACATGCCTTTTTCTAGTGATGGGATGATTGCCATGCGGAACTTTGGTTTTCGAAAGAATCGGCTGACGTGTCAGAGATCCAAGATTGGTCTCCAACCTCCCTTCTTCTTGGATATGAGGAAGTAGTTGGGAGTAGAATCCTGTGCCCTAAATGTCTGCAGGGACTGGCTCCATTGCTCCTCTTTGCAGGAGGGAGTTACCTCTATGGCAAGAACACTGTTCATAGAATCACAGAAGATTAGGGCTGGAAGAGACCTCAGGAACAGGACCAACCCCAACTAAAACATCCCAGCCAGGGCTTTTTCAAGCTAGGCCTTAAAAACCTCTAAGGATGGAGATTCCACCATCTCACCAGACAACCCATTCCAGTGCTTCACCACCCTCCTACTGAAATAGTTTTTCCTAATATCCAACCTAAACCTCCCCCACTGCAACTTGCGATCATTGCTCCTTGCTCTGTCATTTGCCACCACTGAGAACAGCCGAGCTCCATCCTCTTTGGAACCCCCCTTCAGTAGTTGAAGGCTGCTATCAAATCCCCCCTCACTCTTCTCTTCTGCAGACTAAATAAGCCCAGTTCCCTCAGCTTCTCCTCGTAAGTCATGTGCCCCAGCTCCCTAATCATTTTTGTTGCTCTCCGCTGGACTCTCTCCAATTTGTCCACATCCTTTCTGTAGTGGGGGCCCAAAACTGGACGCAGTACTCCAGATGTGGCCTCACTGGTGCCGAATAGAGGGGAACGATCACGTCCCTCGATCTGCTGACAATGCTCCTACTAATGCAGCCTCATATGCCGTTAGCCTTCTTGGCAACAAGGGCAGACTATTGACTCATATCCAGCTTCTCGTCCACTGTAATCCCCAGGTCCTTTTCTGCAGAACTGCTGCTTAGCCAGTCGGTCCCCAGCCTGTAGTGGTGCATGGGATTCTTCTGTCCTAGGTGAAGGACTCTGCACTTGTCCTTATTGAACCTCATCAGATTTCTTTTAGCCCAATCCTCCAATTTGTCTAGATCACTCTGGACCCTATCTCTACCCTTTAGCATATCTACCTCTCCCCGCAGCTTAGTGTCATCCGCAAACTTCATTAATGAAGATGTTGAACAAAACTGGCCCCAGGACAGACCCCTCGGGCACTCCGCTTGATACCGACTGCCAACTAGACATCGAGCCATTGATCACTACCCGTTGAGCCCGAGGACCTAGCCAGCTTTCTATCCATCTTATAGTCCATTCATCCAATCCATACTTCTTTAATTTGCTGGCAAGAATACTGTGGGGGCCATAACAAAAGCTTTGCTAAAGTCAAGATATATCATGTCCACCGCTTTATAACCTATTACGCACCTGGTTACAACTTCAGTGTTTCTAGTAATGCTTCAATTGAGTCCCACTCTCATGAAGAATTTTTTGCACTTTGTGTTGAGTGCAGCGGCAACAAGATCCACTTCTGGAAGCCCCACTTGGTTAGAAATATGCTGTTGAGGACTCGTGAGTCCAGGAGAATTGCCTGCTGAGATTGTTGGCCATGGTGTTCTGTATACCTGGGAGGTAAGAAGCACAAATTCTAGAGTTTTATTCCTTTGGCACAAAGCAAGGGAGAGCATGCCTCGCCCTCTTGATTGATGTACAACATGCAGGCCATGTTGTCTGTTGTAACCTTGATAAATTTGACTCTCATCAGTAGAAGCATTTCTGACTGTTTTCAATTCTAGAAGGTTGATGTGAAGAAGACGCTCTTGAGAAGACCATTTGCCTTGAATGGTGTGACACCCTAGATATGCTCCCCATCCCAAAAGGGACACATCTAATGTTATAATCATGGTAGTAGGAGGTTGAATGAAAGGAACTCTTGCACAGACTTTAAAGGGGTCCTTCCACCAACTGACTGAGTCCAAAATACAATGGGGAACAGACATCCGTTTTTCTTGAGTGCTTGCTCGGCATATAAACTGACTTGAGCCATCCCTGGAAGCACTGAAGATGTATCCAGGCATGCTGGGTTACGACGGTACCAGCTGCCATATATTCTAATAGCTGGAGACAATTTCTTGCTGGGCTTCAAGGACTTACCTGAACCTTTGAAATTAGATTTTTTTTAGGGTTGCGAACCTGTCCATGGGAGCACATGATACTGGGAATGATTGTAGTTTATTGTAAAATGAAGAAATCTCTTGTGACATGAAAATACACATCAAGGGTCACAAACCAATCATTGGAATCTAAAGAAGGAATTATAGCTGCAAGGGTCACCATCCTGAATTTTTGTGGTTTCACTTAATTGTTTAGATGCAGTTTAGAGCTAACATTGGTCTCCGTCCTCCATTCTTTTTGGGACCCAGTAAGCACTTGTAATAGAAACTCTTTCTCCTATTCTGGACTAGAACTGGTTCTGTGGGCCCTAAGCACAGAAGAAAGGCAACTTTCTGTCTCAGCAATTGATCATGAGATTGGTCCCTGAAAAGGGATGGGGAAGGAGAATAAGAGGGAGGGATGGAGATGAAATGGATGGAATAATCAGGCACTATCATCTCCAAAACCAATTTGTTGGATATTATTCTCTCCCATGTAGGTTGGAAATGGGAAACATGGTATCCAAAAGGGGGGTGGGAAAGGACGGTGAGACTATAGGCTCCAGTAGAGTAGGTGATTAAGAGTTTTTAGCAAATCTTTCAAAGTGTGAAACTCATCAGCAGACTCAGAGAATAGCTTGACACCATCAGAAGGACGGTCCCCAACAGTACTCTGTACTTCCATAGAGAAGTTAGCCAACTGGAGCCATGATCTTCATCAGCTCCTGAAATTGTCTAAACTCATCTGCAGTGGAAGATGGTGGAGGCATTACAGCCTCATCTGGCAATGCTGAAGAAATACTTGTGTGAAGTGTTACCTCCTTGTCAGCCCTTGTCTCTTGCTCCTCAAAGTTCTCTAATGGCTCAGGTTGATGAGGTGGTAGCGAAGATGCAGGAGAATGCCTCTGAGAGGGACTTGGGACCTTTAAGAATTGTTGGTGATATAGGGCCCAGAGATACCAATAAGGTCACTGAGAGGGCTCCAGAGCATAGGAGAAGGCACCCATCACTGGTCACACCAACTAAATTGTGGTCAAGGTTTCCTGTCCCCAACAGTCTCTAAGTAGCAGAGTAGTGACTTGTAGAGTAAAGAGGAGATCCCTGAATTGAAACCTGAGTCAGAAGAATCATCCTCAACATATTTCAGAGAAGGTAATAACTTTCACCCTAGATGGTTGATGCCAGTGAAGCAGGAGGTCTCGATGAAAAATGTGAAGTCTGTAACACAGAAGATCATGGTACAGATAACTGTTCGGTAATGGAAGCTCCACTAGGTAATGGAGATTCCAACATAAAAAGATCTCTTAACTATCTAACTCCTGCGGTAGTGATGATATGTGAATGGGAGTTGAGAAGGATCCTGTGTAGACTGACATCGGCACCAAGGTAGGGACTTATCTAGAATGCATCGGTGCTGTGGGCACTAAATGCTTCCACTGAGTATGTTCTGACTCAGGCAGTACTAATAGAACAGTCAGGGACAGTGTATGGATACCAAAGATACAGTAGAGTCTGATGGTGCAGACTTCTTTGAAGTTGAATGTCTACTAGAATGGACATGACCACCCAATGCTGAACAAGTTTTCGGTACCAAATCCAGCTTATTGGTAGAGTGGCTTTTAGAGGAAGCCTTAGATGATTTCACGGTATTGGAACCACTCAAATTCTCAACAGTACAGCTTTTAGGACCTGTGGTCCCCAAAACAGTTTTTTCAATTGGTGAACGAAACTTCTTAGTAGGAGACCTAACATTCTTGCTCCTCTTGTCAGAACACACAGTCTTACTGCACAAGCCTCTTGATACCACAGATGCAGAAGCAGGTGCTGTATCCATCGAGGGTCTTGGTGACCAGGATCCCGAGGTAGAGGGGCACTAAATGTGCTTGGAGATTGGTGTAAAGGGAGATTCTCGGAGCCTGGGTCAGTGGCCAGTCTTGCTTCATCATTAACAATTTAAATTTTATTTCTCTATTTTTAAAAAATCTGCTTTTGAAGGAGAAGCAGATCTTATATTTGGCTCGTATATGAATGTCTCCCAAACAACGGAGGAGACGAGAGTGTCTGTCACTGACTAGGATAGATTTCTAGCAGGAAAGACGGTGTGCTAAACCTGGGTATCCTGGCATACCCCATATTCCAGAATAACCCCTCAAGTGGAAAAAGAACAAATGGGGAAAAAATAACAACAGACTCTCTGAACTAAATACTACAACTAAACTAAACTAAACTAAACTAAGAAACAGAAAAAACGATGTTTAACTAACTACATGTAAGTGAAGCAGGCATGCTTGATGCTCCATCTCAGGCCGAAAGCAATCAAGAAGGAACTGAGGGCAGTTTGCCTGTGCAGCTCTATATATTCTCAGTACAGAGCATGAGGATGTGCATAGAGCAAGTGTGGGCAGAAGGGGCACTGCTACTGAAAATCTCTGATAGAAGGCGACTGGTGGCACATGCGCACCGAAGTGGAGCTCCTACAGGGATATTACTTGAAGAAGAACTTTGCTGCAGTGCCTACAATAAAGACCTTGCAAAGTCTTTACTTTAATTATTTTGTTATTCACTCCATCATTATGATTATGCATTAAAAATGTCCCAGAGCAGTTTGAGGAAAGAAAAATTAAGTGTAAAGATAAATGTTTTCTAACTATCAAGGTATTTATATTGTGTCCATCACCGTGGCATCTGAACACTTAAAAGTAGTACTGATTAGGTTTTTTTTTACCTGTTGTCATGACAATTCCAGCAAGAACTTTTCTACGTGCATGGGGAGATGTGAAATTATCAGTCAGATCACTGAATTTATCCACAACCAAGCGTGCAACAGCATCAGCTAAAACCTGCAAAATCACAGAAATACATGTTAGAGAGAATCAAACAAGAAACAACTATTAAATGGTGGCATTTAATATGATGGATTAAAAAAAATCATACACACTGTTAATTTTTTATCCTCCACTGATTAGGGCCAAGATTTCCCAGAGTCCACTAACTCTTGGTGCCCTACTTGAGATATCTAGCATCTGATTTTCCAGGATGCTGAGCAGAACACCTCCTAAAGACCTCAACTGGAGTTTTGGTTCTTGGACCTTAATTTGAAAACCTAAAAACTGAAGGACCTAAAAGTAGTGACAATTTTGAAAAATTGGGCCTGGGTGAAAAAACGAATGGCAGAAAGATTCAATGCTTGTATCTCAACATACATCATTTTAAAGTCCTAAACAAGAGTCAATGCTTTTTATCCTTGTATCTCAAAAATACTTAATTTCAATGACCTAATCACTGGGCCTGAAAATAATACCAAAATACAACAAAAATCAGTCATCTTGACTAACATATAAAAATCCTTTATTAGACCAGAAATAGTTATTTATTTTTTACATTTATAAAAATGTGCCCTTCCCTCAGCTTTAGGTGAATATACATTATTTTATTTTGTTTTATTACAAAAAATATACACATTTTTAAATGGACAATTTCAACATAAAATTTAATGATGGCCATCGAAAATAAAGAAGTATTAATGAAATGAAATTAATGAAAGCCTGGAATAATAGAGGCGGCTTTGCAATTTGCCCTGAGCATCAACAAACTTATGGTCTGTCAGACTGCGAGTGAAGACTAGTTGCAGATTTAAGGAAAGCTCCTTGAAAATGACCTACCACCAGCTTGTTTAAATCTCGAGATTGTTAGTTCCAGCACCACAGCTGATCTCAACATATCATGTCAGGAAAGAAGCTGTCTTTAAGGTAGCCAGAAAACACAGAATTTAGAGGTTTGTAAGTCAAAATCAACATCTTGAATTTCACCTGGAAACAAATTGGAAGCCAATGCTGACTATGGAGCAATGATGCTATTTGTGAAAATATTGCTAAATAAGTAAAATATTGCATTTGGAAGTAGCTGAATGGTTTTCATATTCATATTCATATTCACAGCAGTTCCACAGAATACAGTGCAGTAATCCAATTTGGAGATGACGATGGCATGGACAATTATGGAAGTTCCATGTTCAAAGGAAATGCTTGAAACCTTCTAGCCAACCATGCAGTTGGCAAAAAGGCATTCTTGGCCACAGCTACCACTTAGACATCCAGAAGCAGTGGAGGATGTAACAGGACCCACAAATTGTGAATCTGACTATGCACTGGTGACAGGGGTGGCTCTATGTTTTTTGCTGCCCCAAGCATGGCAGGCAGGTGGCATGCTTGCGGGAGGTCCGCCGGTGCTGCGCCATCGGCGTCCCCACCTCCAAATTGCCGCCGAAGCCGTGGGACCAGCGGACCTCCTGCAGGCATGCTGCTGAAAGCTGTCGGCCTGCCGCCCTCACAGCAACCGGCAGGCCGCTCCCCGCGGCTTGCCGCCCCAGGCACGCGCTTGCCGTGCTGGTGCCTGGAGCTGCCCCTGACTGGTGAGCATGCTCTCCCAATTGAGAGAACGGATATAACCTCCATAATTTCTCTCATAGTCTTCTCCAGCCTACTACCATCATTACCTTTTCTTATACAGACAGACTGGGCCTTGGCAAGCTACCTCTCATCTAAGCTCCATCTTGGCTAGACACTGGGAAAGCAGATAGACCATACCATCAAGATGTGACAGAATAGAGAGTTGTTTATTATTGGTATATTGAAGACAGTGCAGCTCCACTTCCACCCTATCTCACATAATGATCACATATGGAGGAGATAGTTCAGTGGTTTGAGCATTGGCCTGCTAAACCCAGGGCTGTGAGTTCAATCCTTGAGGGGCCCACTTAAGGATCTGGGGCAAAATCAGTACTTGGTCCTGCTAGTGAAGGCAGGGGGCTGGACTCGATGACCTTTCAAGGTCCCTTCCAGTTCTAGGAGATAGGATATCTCCACTAATTTAGGGGAGAGCTGAAGTAATGGAACCCTGAGGTCCCATCCATAAGAGAGCTATTGGGGCTAAGAAGCATTTGTCCACAACGACCCTCTGGGTCCTATCAGGGAAGAGAAAAACCACTCAAGAGCTGTTCTCTCTACCCTAGACAGGGTCACAGGCATTCACGAATACCTTATGGTCAACAATACCAAAAGTTGCTGACAGATCTAAAAGAAAAAACATAGACATGAGAACATAATCAGACCTAACACCAGATTCTCATAGATCAAGGAAACCCAAAGGCTATAGACATTGTCAGAGTTGATTCACCACAACCTTCTCAACAATTTTCCTTGGAAACTGAGCGATGAGAAATAATGTGACAATTAGCAGAATTCTCAATGCCTGTGTCCTTCCTGGCTGACTTTACTGGCCAAGAAGGACATGTGTCCAGCTTGCAGGCCATAACCCTAAGCTCTTTGAACTTTTCCAAAAGCTTGGTGAGTGGCGCTGGCTAAAACTCAGAGAAAACTGCATTTGTTGCTAGCTTTAGACCTGGTTCTGTCATTATAGAGACTGACAATAAAGTCTGAAGACCAGTAGTCATATATCCAAAGTAGATGAGAGGAATATATCAAGCAAATTTAAGGCCTACTTGTTATTTGTTCTTTTTGAAAACTACACTTTTTCATGCTTTTCGCTGGCTAACTATTGCACATAAGGATTCAGTTATGAAGAATAATGACAATAGATTAAAACAAGATAGCTAATACAACTATGGCTTCTTTTATGAAGAACAGGATTTGCTATTGAGAAAGCTAGGCACGTGCACAAAGAAACTCGTCTTGGTCAGTGTAGCTGTTTTGTTGCAGATCCTGTAATTTGGAAAACCATTCAGCCAGAAAATTTAAGCTTTACTTGAGGCCCAGCATTGAACCCAGACCAGAGTCCCAGTTCAGTGCTTAACCTCAAGAATACCACCAGGTCAACAAATTGGGTCTCCTAGCTGCAAAGCTGGAGATCTAGTTTTTAACATTACCAGACCTAACCGCCCAACCTGTCCCAAACCACAACTTGATGGATCTTCCAGAAGAACTTGGCTTGCAGCTGGAAACCACCAGCCAAAGGGATGTCATATGTGACAGGGTCAGGCCAGATGGCTACAGGAGAGTGCTGGAAGACAGATATATTAGCCCCAGGATAACCAGGTCCCTTGTGAAAAGGTTCCAGGGCCGGCTCTAGGCTTTTTGCCGCCCCAAGCAAACATAAATAAATAAATAAATAAATAAATGCTGCCTCTGGAATTGTGCCACCCCAAGCACATGCTTGCTTTGCTGGTGCCTAGAGCCGGTCCTGAAAGGTTCAACAGGACCCTCAAGGCCATGATAAGTAAAGTGGTAAGTCGGGATGGGAAAGACTGGTACACACTACTGCCTTACCTCATGTTCGCCATCCAGGAGGTTCCTCAGGCTTCCACTGAGTTTTCCCCTTCGAGCTATTATACGGGTGCCAACCCTGTGGCATATTAGACATAGCCAGGGAAATCTGGGAGGAAGACCCAATGCGGGGAGAAACATAATTGAGCACATGCTACAGATGAGAGACTGGATAGCCCGAGTCACCCTTATCGTACGGGAGCACTTGGAGAAAGTGCAGGAGGCCCAATGAGCCCACTACAACCACCAAGCAAAGATTTGATGGTTCTAACCTGGAGACCGGGCGATGCTATTGGTACCCATGGCAGAGAGTAAGCTCTTGGCCCAGTGGCAAGGGCCCTATGAAGTGTTCGAATCCATGGGAGAGGTGAACTAAAAGGTGCGACAGCCGGAAACAAGAGCAGATTTATCATGTCAATCTCCTGAAGTCTTGGCATGCTCGAGAGGCATGCTTAGTCCCCAAGAAGCCCTGCCCTGGGAAAGGAACCAGACCAAGCAGGTGAGGATATCCCCCGACTTGACGTCGGATCAAAAGACCGAGGCATCCAAGATGGTCAATCAGAACTAGGATGTGTTCTCAACAAGACTGGGCTGGAGGACCGAGGGATATCACCACATCCTCACGAACCCTGGGGCCAAGGCGACGATAAGGCCCTAACGGGTCCCAGCAGCCAAAAGGGAGGAAATCAAGGCTGAAGTGAAGAGAATGTTAAATTTAGGGGTCATTGAGGAATCCCACATCTAGTGGTCCAGCCCAATTGTGCTGGTGCCCAAACCCGACGGCACCACAAGGTTCTGCAATGAATTTCACCGACTGAATGAAGTGTCCCAGTTTGATGAATAACCTATACCCCGCTTAGACGAGTTAGTTGACCAACTGGGCAACGCCCGGTTCCTGACCACCCTGGATTTGACAAAGGGGTATTGGCAGATCCCACTAGCCAAAGAAGCAAAAGAAAAGACTGCTTTCTCCATACCAGAGGAGCTATTTCAGTATACTGTTATCCCCTTCGGGCTGCCTGGGGCCCCAGCCACCTTCCAGCGCCTCATGGACAAGCTGTTGCACCCCCATGCCAGTTATGCCATCGCATACCTGGATGATGTGATTATCCATTCCCCAGACTGCGAGACCCACCTGGGAAAGGTGGAAGTGGTGCTGAGCATCTTAAGGCGGGCCAGCCTCACCACAGCCAATCCAGCCAAGTGCACCATTGGCCTAGCAGAGGCTAAATACCTTGGATACATCGAAGGAAGAGGCATAGTAAAGCCCCAACTAAATAAGCTGGAGGCTATACAAATTTGGCCCTGGCCAAGCCAGAAAAAACAAGTCCAAGTGTTCCTAGGCATAGTGGGGTACTATCGACGATTTATCCCCCATTTCGCCACCAGAGCAAGTCCCCTGATGGACCTGGTAAAAGCCCGGGGCCCTGACATGGTGAGATGGACCGACACAGAAGAAGGGGCATTCACAGATCTGCGGGCAGCCCTCTGTAGTAACCCTGTGCTCATAGCCCCGGTCTTTACTAAAGAATTCATTTTACAGATGGATGCATCAGAAG